CACACACACACACACACACACACACACACACACACACACACACACACACACACACACACACACATGAACACACACACAGACACACACACACACACACACACGCACACACACACACACACACAGAGGGCAGTTTTTTTACTTTTTTTTCACTTTTTTTTTTCCCACGTGTATTCTGCCACGTGTCCGCGGCCCATTGGGCCTGACCCGTTGATTGGATTTCAACGGGAAGCCCCCGTTGTACCGTTCAACGGGGATTCAACTCGGCCCCCGGGGGTGTACAACAGGTACAACGGAGTTGTACAAAACCCGTTGCGAGTTGAATGGATACATAAGTTGTCGTAAATGCGCCGTCCTTGAGAGTCTCGACGTCGATCTCCAAGACATTGATGCGATCCGCCACGTTGGAGGGTCCGGCGGGGATGGCTGTTGCAAGCTGCTGTTCCAGCCGGCGTACCCGGTCAAGCAGTTCGTCAATAATACGAATCTGCTTCCAGAATAAGGTGTCCATGCAGAGGATGTCCTCTTGTTGTATTGCACAGGTGACGACCAAGTCGCTCACATGTTCGATTGTGGTTGCAAGACCACACACAGCAGAGGGGGCACCCCCCTCTTCAACAGCCACTGCCCATTCGCCGGCGATCACCTCGATATCCCCCTTGCATTCGAGGAGTTTGTCTCGGCGTAGTCGACGGCGTTCATCTGCGACCGTCGCTGCTGCCTCAGCGTCCGCCTGTCGCTGCTGTTCAGCGAGGCGACGTTGTTCCTCTGCTTCATCGTCTTCCTTTTTACGTGCGGACGTTGCCGCAACTGCCCGTTGCTTGCACTCGGCTACCATGTCCAGCATGCGGGTCTCATAGGCCTCGGTAGTCTCGCCTGGCTGCTGCTCCATGCTGCTTGTCTTTGAGCAGGCGAGCAGCATGCACTAACGTGTCCTGCCGCTGTGGCCTGCTGACGTGGCAACTTACCAATGTCGTGTACTGCTGACGTGGCCTGCTCACGTGGCAACTCACCAATGCCGCCGCAGGGAATACCCGGAGGAAGATAGAGAAGACCAGATGGGGCAACAGCATAGACTGACTCCTGAAAAGTCATTCACATTCAGCCCTCACAAGTCAGAGCAACCAGACCAACCAAACTTATGGAACATGTCTGGTCCTCCAGGCAACCCAATAAATAAACATAGCAATGGGTCTTCTCAAACGTATAAAATTGGCCCAACCTTTAGTTGACCCAGTCAAGCTTCATGCAAAACTATCTTTCTCCCACCCTTCCCCCACATGGAACCCCACAATCTGCTTTCAATCGCCCAAGTACCGGCAGAGCTCCCTCAATCGGTGGGATGACTCCCCACAGAGTCTTGCTGCGGTCCTATGGGTTGCAATCCCGCCTGGCGCCTTCCTCTCAGATCAGGACTCGACTTAGAGTAAGAAGGGCAGAAGATAGGGGGTTTCAGACTTTCGAGATACAGGAGGGTGACAAACTCAACTCTTAGGAGAGGGCCTTGGTATCTTAAGGCGCATGAGGGCCTCGCAATGATGGCCAAACTGTAACAACTTTGTCGAAACTGCAGTCAAACCGCCGGTTATTGGTTCCCTGACGATCCTCTGAATCACACCAATAAACCGTTTTCAATGCACGACTTCCCAGTCAACAAAGTTCGTGCTCAAGCATGTGTGTCTGCTAACTCTGTATCAATCAGTTGTCTGCAATGACAATCCAATAGCTCCCGGCCATACCTGCAGCTTCCAAATCCCGAGGCAATAACGTAATCACAACTGTTGTCACAAGTAAGACTAGCTGTAGCAAAAGCAATGACCACACACCAACAACCCACCGAGCACTATAGTAGCTCTGACCTGAACGCGACAATGAGACGGTCTGTACCAGCCGCAGCCGTTCGTTGCTACTGAAAGTACCAACGGTATCATTTAGCCGCACACCCACTAGAAATTCGCCCAGTCAACAATAACTTGAGGTCGCTGCAAAAGTCCAACAACAAATACCACGGTCCGTAGTAGCCGCAACAATCGTTTGTAACAGATATATTGACAAGGTAGTATAGCTGGTCACACAGCCAGGCCACTGCAAAGGATACCTTCGTGATCAAAACTATCAGCGCCCCGTAATGCCTCAGCCACACAACGCCACCAACTTTCCTAGCACTGCCAGCTCTGCTCCGCCAGTTAAGCGGTTCCTAAGCTCTCTTTCCTACCTCTTCTATCTTCCCTCTCACTTTCTCTTTCATATACCCTTTCCCCTCTCAAACATTCGTAACTCGGTCTTGAGCTGTGCGAATAGGAGACATAGTCGTGACGCCCGCGTATCACCTCTGTACGAACGAACAGGTCCTCCCAAGGATCAGGAAAAACTTGTGGCGGACAGAATGGTAGTCTCAAGCAAACATGAGGCAAGGAATCAGCGTGACCACGAGTGCACATAGCCTTCACTCTGAGCACAAGCGGTGCGCTACAGTTTAAGCCCAAACTCCTTTTGCTGCTAGCGTCACGTCTGCTGCTTCTCTTCTCGCTGCGCACCCTTTTCGTCGTTTTCTTCCATATATTTGCCTTCATGCCCTACTCTCCCCCTGCTTGCAAACGATCCGAAACCCAATGCAGAAGCACATCCTAACAATGGCGCTGTTGAATCAGGTACGAAGGTTACGACCCCTAACTCCCGCAACCCAACTTTCAAGTCGTCTCATGTTTTCAGTTCTCCGAAGTATGTGCGCACCTTGATTTAATCACGCCTGCCCTTCCGTCCGGTTCTCAACCTGTTCGTCCATTTTCGTGATGACAGCTACGTCGTTGCCAGGTAAGTATATACTCGCCCCAGGCCCACCATGAGCTCCCAGTTCGTCATTCTTATTCGTTGGCAGCCCAACAGTTCGACACCTTGGCCACTCGACAGGCCGGGTTCAAGCAATCGAGGAGGGAGAACCACTTAGCAGAGCGGGGCATGACCACCAATAACAGCTGATATTCACAACTTTGATGAAATACGAACGTAGGGAGCTACGTGCTGCTCCCGCCTGCAAACTATCTGCAACTCTACTGAGTTGAGAGAGTTCTCCTACCGTGACCCTTCTCTCTTACTCTCTCTCTCTAGTCTCCATAGGAGCGTATGTGGCCGTTAGCTCGGCCACGTTCACTTTTTCCTTGCTGCGATCATAGCCTTTTCCCTCTCCGACAGTTTGGTTGCACCCCGTTTCGTTAGTCACACCTAATCTACTAACTCTTAACTATAACTAACTTCGAATTTAGATTCGCCCCTCCAAATTTTTTTTATCTACGTTCTCTTTCCCTCCGTCCCCGTCATGAAACGGGTACGTTTCAGCCGTTATACTCCCGCCATAACTCCCTCTTCGCGTAGCACCATCTCTACTAACCTCTTGTTCTTCTAACTTTACCCCAATCCTAAAATCGCCATCCGCTTCGCACGACCTCAAAACGCCCAACCTCAAAACGTTAATCTCCCATCTTCTTTCACTCGATTCTATCAAGAATCGAGTGAAATATCGATTCTCCTCTCTTCGTCCTCTCTTCCCCCACCATAGCCTTTCTCTGCCATACCTCCGCGCAGCTCATCATCCCGCGAACTCCCTTTACACTAATCTTCTTCTAATTCTAACATCATCGTTGGATTCGCTTTCAAGCAAAACCCCGACCTCGAATCTTTGTTTGCTGAAAACAGCCAAGAGATGACCGAGCTAACAGGCCTTCACTCACATTTTTTTCCATCCCCGACACTCGGTGCGCACCTTCTTTCTTGCGTACCGACTAATTCCCTATCCTGTAGCGAAATTTAACCCTGCCAGTGGCCTCGCCCTGGCTCAAAATGTAGGAAATGAGCCTTCATGGGCTCATTTCTACCAAGGAACGGTGATTCGTAGCTCCACTCATCTTCTTCCGGTCGCTGCCTCCATCATCGCCTGCCTTGAACGCATCAAGTCGCTGAAGCAGGCCGAACTCATGTTCCCCCTTTCCTTCCTTACTCACCTCCTTGCTGACCTCCTTGCTTTCCTTCTCCTCCGCCTTCGTCGAATGTACCCGGCGCCACACTGCGTCTGGGTTCATTCGCCTCTTTCCTCTTTCCTTCCTCGACCGCTGCCCGTTGCTAGTCTCCTCGATGTTCGTCTTCACCTGCTCGGTCCGCATCCAGCTTTCCGCCCTACCTTCCTCCTCACTCCGCTGAACTCCGGCGGGCTACGCTTGGTAGTCGGGGACCTCTCAGTGCTACACTGTGCACTTCCCCGTACGCCCCAAGCACGGCGCTGCGCCCCACTGCTCGTCTGAATGTCCACCCAGTGCCCGTCAAAAACCGGTATTCTGGTGCGCTCAACCGGCACGGCAACGTCCACGGGGTGCTACTGGCGGGGCCAGCTACGGATCAACTTAGTTAGTCTTCCGCCTACATGCCCAAGTCCGACGGACGGTTGCACGGCAGTGCTGCAGCAGCCTCTGTCGTGGTACCCCCGGCTCATGGCGCCTACTGGGCCTACTGTGCCTACTGCGCCTGTGGCCAGTTCCCGATCTTTCCGGTCCCGAAGACTCACACTCTCCAAACCACTCTCTGCAAATTGTGGTTGGCGGGAGGTGTACCCCGTGATCACGACTACTCGRGACTATTCCTCCCTCCCGCAGGCCCCCTAAGGACCTTTGTGGTGGTAGCAGATATCCTAATGAAAACCTTGAAACCCGAAGGGGACTAGGGTCCTCCGGGGCCGCCGTTTCAGCAACTCCCCCAAACTGTGGTCCCGGGTCGCCACTCGTCATTGCACCCAGGAATGGCTCACCATCTTGAGGTCCCCGCTAGGCATGCTCACACTTAAACTTCTCACRATASATCAKGCGGGTGGTCRGCACATCTGCAAAGGGTCCGCGCCACCCGGATTTTCTCCTTCTCGTGGGCTAATCATCCACTGGCTTGCATGCACGTCGAACTCCTCGGTCCGTGTTTTCAAAACTGACAAGGTCAAGGAAATTTCGTCGGCACTTCGAGCACGCCTGAATCCGCAGGTCAAACAAACAAGACGTGCGCTCAAGGTCCTTGACTGCCGTGACGGCCACCCGTGGCCGGTGTCACGTCCGGCCTATAAAAAGTCAAAACATAGAGTTAAATAATAACGACGACAAATAATAATAACAATGTTTTAGAAGCTTCTAATCGTCAAAATATGACGACGAGGAAAGAGGCCCCGCTAGCACGTTCTGACGCTGCTGACGACAGTAAAACCAAGGGAGGTAGCCCCGTCGGGCCCTGAACCCTTCAGTGTCCTACTCGCTATTCTGATCTCCTTGCGTTGTCGCTACTCGATCATGATCCCTGAATCTCTTTGACGAAAGTCCGACGTTGTAACCGTTAGTGCTAGGTCCAAGGCTGGGTCTTAGCCTTGTTGGACACCTAAATAAACGAACACCTAAATAACACGACACTGCGTGATGTGAAGACTTACCAAGATGTTTTCGAAAGAGTCACATTGTTGTCGATGTCGTCCGCCGCAACGCACGCAAAAGTCACCAGTAAGCATAGTCACGAGACAAAATCATTTTAATCCTAATTTAATCAGAAAATAAAAATCTGGCCGGCGACTACGCCGACTCTCACAATCATCAATCAAAAATTAAGTGATCACGCGCGCCTCAATCCTGCGTGCATTCACACTCTCTACTTCTAGTCAACCATCCAACCAACGTAAACCACATACGCAGCCGCGACTCGCGCGGAATACTTAAACTTTAAACCAAACCTATCTTCTGTTGCGTGCAAAGAACAGGGAGGATACCCTTGTAAGGATATTCGCACCGACAGCTTAACGGACCGTATTAAGTGACGTCCTCCGTCGCTTCGCAAGATCAAAAGGCTATAAATCCGTCCAAACTTTAAATGCCGACGAGAAAGGAACCAATCCGATCATTCGACAGACTCCGGCTCGAGACCTCCATCAAATCATGCCAAACACAACGTTATGCTGCCAGGATTCTTATATGGGTC